GCATACGCATGTGTTTCGTGTACACGGCCAAGGAAAAAGCCCCCTCAATCACCACCTGCCGCAGGACCTCCAGATGGAACAAACCTTGGGGTTGGGGGGGGGGGGAACTTGCGGGCGGGCGGGGCGCTGGGTAATCTTGCCTTACGTGTGTTGGCAGTTGTGCATCATCTCTCTCAAATCTCGAAGCGGGGGAACATTTGATCATGTGCTGTCCAAGACAGGAACTTTCTTCGGCGGCGGAAGCTCGACCGGTTCGGTGTCACGGCAATATAATAACGACAGCAGTACTACTTAGTTGCTCTTCGGTGCGCTATTGCGCTACTGCTGCTGCACTGCTGCGGTGCTGCATCTCATATGTTGCTCCACACACACCATAGCACGCACACCTCTACACGACGCTGTCTGCAGGTTTCACATTGCTGACGGACTTCAAGACGCGTAAACACCCTTTGAGAGCGATCTCGATTGATTGGTTCCCTACATGTGAGATCTGTAGTTTGCTACACAAAGATCTTCTGTAGACTACTTTTCTAAGATTATCGGCCAGATTCTCCGGAGTACAACATTAGCAAGAGACTCACTTACACATACCACGACGTTGTAGGAACGTTGAGTTAGTCTACCTGTTAGTCTACGTGAAGACTACCTCCACTTGCCTCCTCCCAAATTATTTTTTGGAAAAAAACGCTTCCTGTTCGCTGTTCGAGATTGATAGATGGATGCGTACCACCCTTACTCAGTTGCCCACACGGCAGCAGGGATACGGTTCTCTTGAGGGTTGGTTGTAATGCAAGACTACTGGAAGGCTATGATGTTCTTACCTCTCTCTGCGGGCCACAGCGCTGTGTCTGTTGAGCTACTACAGCAGTAGGGTTGACGACAGGTCCTAGGACAGATGATCTTGTCTTGTGCAGGGGTCGGAAAGGACAAGGCGAAGAAGAGATTTAAAAGCAGGAGAGACGGGCCACCGGGACAGACGGGACAATAGCCAACGTGCCGAGAAACTCGGGGAACGGACGTGCTTCTGATTGAGAGCATCGGGAAAAACGGGCTCCGGTGCGTTCGTTGTGGTGTGGTACGTGCGGAGCCCCAGGGGTGACGTCTCTCCGATCCAAGTCTTCGGGCAGCCACACCTCCCTGAGATACAACCTCCAACCAGAGTGGAAGGCTCCTCGGGCGGAAGGCTTTCACATGTACAGCAAAGTAGGAGACTTTCGCTCCACGTACAGCAGTATTTGTCCGCCAAT